GCGGACTGCATTTTCTTGGATTGTCGGAAAGCCTTTGACACAGTACCGCATAAGAGGCTGGTACATAAACTGGAGAGACAGGCAGGTGTAGCTGGTAAGGTGCTCCAGTGGATAAGGGAGTACCTAAGCAATAGGAAGCAGAGTTACAGTAAGGGGTGAGATCTCAGATTGGCGTGAAGTCACTAGTGGAGTCCCACAGGGCTCTGTACTCGGCCCTATCTTTTCTCTGATATATGTAAATGATCTCCCTGAGGGTATAGATTCATTTCTCTCAATGTTTGCTGACGACGCCAAAATTATGAGAAGGATTAAGACAGAGGAGGACAGCTTGAGGCTTCAAGAAGACCTAGACAAGCTGAGGGAGTGGTCGAACAAATGGTTGTTAGAGTTTAACCCAAGCAAATGTAATGTAATGAAGATAGGTGTAGGGAGCAGGAGACCAGATACTAGGTATCATCTGGGAGACGAAATTCTTCAAGAGTCAGAGAGAGAAAAAGACTTGATATCACGCCAGACCTGTCCCCTGCAGCACATATCAAGAGGATTACATCAGCGGCATATGCCAGGCTGGCCAACATACGAACGGCATTCAGAAACTTGTGTAAAGAATCATTCAGAACTTTGTATACCACATATGTCAGGCCAATCCTGGGGTATGCAGCCCCAGCATGGAGTCCATATCTAGTCAAGGATAAGACTAAACTGGAAAAGGTTCAAAGGTTTGCCACCAGACTAATACCCGAGCTGAGAGGTATGAGCTACGAGGAGAGACTACGGGAGTTAAACCTCACTTCGCTGGAAGACAGAAGAGTTAGGGGGGATATGATCACCACATTCAAGATTCTGAAGGGAATTAATAGGGTAGATAAAGACAGGCTATTTAACAGAAGGGGCACACGCACAAGGGGACACAGGTGGAAACTGAGTGCCCAAATGAGCCACAGAGATATTAGAAAGAACTTTTTTAGTGTCAGAGTGGTTGACAAATGGAATGCATTAGAAAGAGTTGTGGTGGAGGCTGACTCCATACACAGTTTCAAGTGTAGATATGATAGAGCCCAATAGGCTCAGGAACCTGTACACTTGTTGATTGACGGTTGAGAGGCGGTACCAAAGAGCCAGAGCTCAACCCCCGCAAGCACAACTAGGTGAGTACACATACACACACACACAAACACATACACACACACACACACACACACACACACACACACACACACACACACACACACACACACACACACACACACACACAAATCACTGGCAACAGGGGAACTGCCAGAAATTTGGAAAGCAGCTAACGTAGTCCCGATATACAAGAAAGGGGATAGACAGGAGGCACTGAATTACAGACCAGTGTCCCTAACCTGCATACCATGCAAGTTGATGGAGAAGATTGTGCGAAGAAAGCTAGTGGAACATCTGGAGCGAAAGAACTTTGTAACACAGCATCAACATGGATTCAGGGATGGCAGGTCCTGCCTCACAGGGTTACTTGAATTCTACGACCAGGCAACAAAAATAAGGCAAGAAAGAGAAGGGTGGGCAGACTGCATATTTTTGGATTGTCAGAAAGCCTTTGACACAGTGCCACACAAGAGGCTAGTGAAAAAACTGGAGATGCAGGCTGGAGTGAAAGGGAAGGTACTCCGTTGGATACAGGAGTACCTAAGTAACAGGAGACAACGAGTCAGTGTGAGGGGTGAGGTCTCAGATTGGCGAGACGTTACGAGTGGAGTACCGCAGGGGTCAGTCCTTGGACCTATACTGTTTCTGATATATGTAAATGATCTTCCAGAGGGTATAGAATCGTTTCTCTCAATGTTTGCCGATGATGCAAAAATTATGAGGAGGATTGAAACTGAGGACGATAGTAGGAGGCTACAAGATGACCTAGACAGACTGAGTGAATGGTCCAACAAATGGCTGTTGAAGTTCAACCCGAGTAAATGCAAAGTAATGAAACTAGGTGGTGGAAATAGGAGGCCAAACACAGGATACAGAATAGGAGATGAAGTACTTAATGAAACGAACAGAGAGAAAGATCTAGGAGTTGATATCACACCAAACCTGTCTCCTGAAGCCCACATAAAAAGAATAACGTCTGCGGCATATGCGAGGCTGGCTAACATCAGAACAGCGTTCAGGAACCTGTGTAAGGAATCATTCAGAATCTTGTACACCACATATGTAAGACCAATCCTGGAGTATGCGGCCCCAGCATGGAGCCCGTACCTTGTCTAGCACAAGACGAAGCTGGAAAAAGTCCAAAGGTATGCCACTAGACTAGTCCCAGAACTAAGAGGCATGAGTTACGAGGAAAGGCTGCGGGAAATGCACCTTACGACACTGGAAGACAGAAGAGTAAGGGGAAACATGATCACAACCTACAAAATCCTCAGAGGAATCGACCGGGTAAACAAGGATAAACTATTCAACACTGGTGGGACGCGAACAAGGGGACACAGGTGGAAACTGAGTACTCACATGAGCCACAGAGACGTTAGAAGGAACTTTTTTAGTGTCAGAGTAGTTAACGGATGGAATGCATTAGGCAGTGATGTGGTGGAGGCTGACTCCATACACAGTTTTAAATGTAGATATGATAGAGCCCAGTAGGCTCAGGAATCTGTACACCAGTTGATTGACAGTTGAGAGGCGGGACCAAAGAGCCAAAGCTCAACCCCCGCAAGCACAAATAGGTGAGTACACACACACAAACACATACACACACACACACACACACACACACACACACACACACACACACACACACACACACACACACACACACACACACACACACACACACACACACACACACTCACACGTTCAGGATTTAGTTAAGTGTTGCATACAAATTGTTATAAAGTTTTCCTCAAGTTTCATTCAGATGCGCTTATTCTGAACAAAACTTTGGTTCATAGTTCAATAAATTCATCTTGAGATATGTGAACATTTTCTCTACAGATTCATACTGAAATCTTCTGAACATATAATGAAGAATATTTTCAAATTATTAGAATGATCCTTTACATAAAGATTTTACCCACGGTAAATAACTTTAAAAATGTAATTAAAATTTTCAGTTCATTCCAGATGTAGAGTTTTCCAAACATATTATACATATTACTGACCCAGAACTGTGTTCATTAGGCTTATGATAGAGTCCAATCATTTACGAATTCAAAATTACAGTTTTTTGAGGGTTAAAGGAATTGAAATTTTGTACATCATCCCAACAGTCATTATACGTACTATCCGGAAGATGGAGATAGGCCTTTAGTATTTGCATATTGTAGTTTTATAGATATAAACGCGCGCGAGTTACTGTTGGGGGGGATATTGATTTCCGTTGTTTGGTAACGGTAGTTTTAGCTCAGCGAGCTCCCATGAGCCAAGAGAGAGGCCTATCCTTCCAGTTAATAACCCAACGTTACTAGGCTCATATAGGCCTACCTTGATAGGCCTATATGGGCATATTTACAGCTCTGCCAGCATCAGCGAGCGGCCAAACATTTGGGCCTAGTCAAATGGGCGATGGAATAATTTATTTTTAAATAATTTGGCAGGATTATCTTGGCTGGTTGAATAGAGTGTGTTGTATTTTGTTTAGCGTCACTCCTCTGCTGCTTGCACTCAACGTGCACTCATGTACTTGCACTCAACGTGCACTCATCCACTTGCACTCAACGTGCACTCATCCACTTGCACTCAACGTGCACTCATGCACTTGCACTCAACGTGCACTCATCCACTTGCACTCAACGTGCACTCAAGCACTTGCACTCAACGTGCACTCATTCACTTGCACTCAACGTGCACTCAACGTGCACTCATCCACTTGCACTCAACGTGCACTCAAGCACTTGCACTCAACGTGCACTCATTCACTTGCACTCAACGTTCATTCATACACTTGAACTCAGTTTTCACTCATTCACTTGCACTCAGCGTTAACCCATACACTTGCACTCAACGTTCATACATACACTTGCACTCAGCTTTAACTCATACACTTGCACTCAACATTCACTCCACCACATATACCGACTACTCCACCACTTTGCACTCAATGTTCACTCAATCACTTGAACTAAACTTTCACTTAACCACTTGCACTCAGCGTGTCTCCACCACTTGCACTCAACGTGCACTCAACCACTTGCACTCAACGTTCACTCAACCACTAACACTCTGAAAGATTTTCACACATACTTAGACTCGGTAACAAACTTTAAGTTTTAAAGTCTAAAGTTGGGTGTCTGGCCTTTACAATGCTGTCCGGTATCTCTTGAGGCGTAGTCATTAAACTCCAGCTGGAACATACATCAAGGAACCAGTTGCAACAGGGAACCAGTTGCAACACGGAGCCAGTTGCAACAAGGAACCAGTTGCAACAGGGAACCAGTTGCAACACGGAGCCAGTTGCAACAATGAACCAGTTGCAACAAGGAACCAGTTGCAACACTGAACCAGTTGTAATAATGAACCAGTTGCAACAAGGAACCAGTTGTAATAATTTACCAGTTGCAACAATGAACCAGTTGCAACAAGGAACCAGTTGCAACAAGGAACCAGTTGCAACAAGGAACCAGTTGCAACAAGGAACCAGTTGCAACAATGAACCAGTTGCAACAAGGAACCAGTTGCAACAAGGAACCAGTTGCAACAAGGAACCAGTTGTAATAATGAACCAGTTGCAACAAGGAACCAGTTGTAATAATGAACCAGTTGCAACAATGAACCAGTTGCAACAAGGAACCAGTTGCAACACGGAACCAGTTGCAACAAGGAACCAGTTGTAATAATGAACCAGTTGCAACAAGGAACCAGTTGCAACAATGAACCAGTTGTAATAATGAACCAGTTGCAACAAGGAACCAGTTGCAACAAGGAACCAGTTGCAACACCAGGCAACCAGTTGCAACAAGGAACCAGTTGCAACAAGGAACCAGTTGCAACAAGGAACCAGTTGCAACAAGGAACCAGTTGTAATAATGAACCAGTTGCAACAAGGAACCAGTTGCAACAGGAACCAGTTGCAACAAGGAACCAGTTGCAACAAGGAACCAGTTGCAACAAGGAACCAGTTGCAACAAGGGACCAGTTGCAACAAGGAACCAGTTGCAACAAGGAACCAGTTGCAACAAGGAACCAGTTGCAACAAGGAACCAGTTGCAACAAGGAACCAGTTGCAACAAGGAACCAGTTGCAACAAGGAACCAGTTACAACAAGGAACCAGTTGCAACAAGGAACCAGTTACAACAAGGAACCAGCTGCAACAAGGAACCAGTTGCAACAAGGAACCAGTTGCAACAAGGAACCAGTTGCAACAAGGAACCAGTTGCAACAAGGAACCAGTTGCAACAAGGAACCAGTTGCAACAAGGAACCAGTTACAACAAGGAACCAGTTGCAACAAGGAACCAGTTACAACAAGGAACCAGTTGCAACAAGGAACCAGTTACAACAAGGAACCAGCTGCAACAATGAACCAGTTGCAACAAGGAACCAGTTGCAACAAGGAACCAGTTGCAACAAGGAACCAGTTGCAACAAGGAACCAGTTGCAACAAGGAACCAGTTGCAACAAGGAACCAGTTGCAACAAGGAACCAGTTGCAACAAGGAACCAGTTGCAACAAGGAACCAGTTGCAACAAGGAACCAGTTACAACAAGGAACCAGTTGCAACAAGGAACCAGTTACAACAAGGAACCAGCTGCAACAATGAACCAGTTGCAACAAGGAACCAGTTGCAACAAGGAACCAGTTGCAACAAGGAACCAGTTGCAACAAGGAACCTGTTGCAACAAGGAACCAGTTACAACAAGGAACCAGTTGCAACAAGGAACCAGTTGCAACAAGGAACCAGTTACAACAAGGAACCAGCTGCAACAATGAACCAGTTGCAACAAGGAACCAGTTGCAACAAGGAACCAGTTGCAACAAGGAACCAGTTGCAACAAGGAACCAGTTGCAACAATGAACCAGTTGCAACAATGAACCAGTTGCAACAAGGAACCAGTTGCAACAAGGAACCAGTTGCAACAATGAACCAGTTGCAACAAGGAACCAGTTGCAACAAGGAACCAGTTGCAACAATGAACCAGTTGCAACAAGGAACCAGTTGCAACAAGGAACCAGTTGCAACAAGGAACCAGTTGCAACAAGGAACCAGTTGCAACAAGGAAGCAAGGCACAAAGAAATAACACCAACATTCATGCATTACGTTAATGTGATTTATCATGTACATCCCAAGAGAAGCCTTGAAGGTAGAATTCCGAGACTACAAGCTACAAAGCACGGAGGCTTCCACTGAAGCTTAGGTGATTTGATAAAATACCATACCCAAGATTACCAACCGAGTGCTGGCGGGGGGATGGAAATAGCCTCGGGTACCATCCTCTTTTGTCCGGTCGTGTTGGTTGAGCGGTTAAAGGATCCTGTACGCCAGCAGAGTACTCCTGGCAGTATGGGTTCGAGTCACTTCTGCGGTGTGAGTTTTCAGTTGCATATAGTCCTGGGGACCATTCAGGTTTGTTAGGCATATATATATATATATATATATATATATATATATATATATATATATATATATATATATATATATATATATATATATATATATATATATATATATATTAGTATATTTTGGTAGCAGTCTTTCCTGTAGACATATATTATTAAATATGACCGAAAAAGTAAGATTAATAATTCTAACACGAATTTTCTCAATCTTTCATACATTACGCTTCACTGTTGGAGGTAAATCAAAAATCACTTCTCCAAAATTCATTTTTATTTCTAGTCTGACGCGACACGGGCGCGTTTCGTAAAACTTATTACATTTTCAAAGACTTCACAAATACACAACTGATTAGAACGTATCTCTGATTTTATATCTACATTTGAGTGAGGTGGGAAGGGTGATGTGGCATTAACACAAGACAGAACAGGAGGGGATATTAATAGGGTATTAAAAGTATCAACACAAGACAGAACAGAAACAATGGGTATTGAATAGAAGTGTTTGTAGAAAGCCTATTGGTCCATATTTCTTGATGCTTCTATATTGGAGCGGAGTCTTGAGGTGGGTAGAATATAGTTGTGCAATAATTGGCTGTTGATTGCTGGTGTTGACTTCTTGATGTGTAGTGCCTCGCAAACGTCAAGCCGCCTGCTATCGCTGTATCTATCGATGATTTCTGTGTTGTTTACTAGGATTTCTCTGGCGATGGTTTGGTTATGGGAAGAGATTATATGTTCCTTAATGGAGCCCTGTTGCTTATGCATCGTTAAACGCCTAGAAAGAGATGTTGTTGTCTTGCCTATATACTGGGTTTTTTGGAGCTTACAGTCCCCAAGTGGGCATTTGAAGGCATAGACGACATTAGTCTCTTTTAAAGCGTTCCGTTTTGTGTCTGGAGAGTTTCTCATGAGTAGGCTGGCCGTTTTTCTGGTTTTATAGTAAATCGTCAGTTGTATCCTCTGATTTTTGTCTGTAGGGATAACGTTTCTATTAACAATATCTTTCTATTCAATACCCATTGTTTCTGTTCTGTCTTGTGTTGATACTTTTAATACCCTATTAATATCCCCTCCTGTTCTGTCTTGTGTTAATGCCACATCACCCTTCCCACCTCACTCAAATGTAGATATAAAATCAGAGATACGTTCTAATCAGTTGTGTATTTGTGAAGTCTTTGAAAATGTAATAAGTTTTACGAAACGCGCCCGTGTCGCGTCAGACTGGAAATAAAAATGAATTTTGGAGAAGTGATTTTTGATTTACCTCCAACAGTGAAGCGTAATGTACGAAAGATTGAGAAAATTCGTGTTAGAATTATTAATCTTACTTTTTCGGTCATATTTAATAATAATAATATATATATATATATATATATATATATATATATATATATATATATATATATATATATATATATATATATATATATATATATATATGTCGTACCTAGTAGCCAGAACGCACTTCTCAGCCTACTATGCAAGGCCCGATTTGCCTAATAAGCCAAGTTTTCATGAATTAATTGTTTTTTCGACTACCTAACCTACCTAACCTAACCTAACCTAACTTTTTCGGCTACCTAACCTAACCTAACCTATAAAGATAGGTTAGGTTAGGTTAGGTAGGGTTGGTTAGGTTCGGTCATATATCTACGTTAATTTTACCTCCAATAAAAAAAGTTGACCTCATACATTATGAAATGGGAAGCTTTATCATTTCATGAGAAAAAACTAGAGAAAATATATTATTTCAGGAAAACTTGGCTTATTAGGCAAATCGGGCCTTGCATAGTAGGCTGAGAAGTGCGTTCTGGCTACTAGGTACGACATGTATATATATATATATATATATATATATATATATATATATATATATATATATATATATATATATATATATATATATATATATATACAGGGTTGACAAAGACAAACTCTTTAGCACGGGCAGGACACGAACAAGGGGACACAGGTGGAATCTAAGTTCAAAAATGAGCCACAGGGACATTAGAAAGATATGATAGAGCCCAATAGGCTCAGGAATTTGTACACCGGTTGATTGACACAGTTGAGAGGCAGGACCAAAGAGCCAGAGCTCAACTAGGTGAGCATATAGCTGGATAACTAGATGAATACATATGTTTTTAAGATAGAGATAGATTTATAGATTGAAGGTAGATGGATTGATAGATAAATAAATTGTTATAGATAGTTGGACAAATAGATAGATCAACTGCCTGATATAGACACATAGATGGGCAGGTAGATGGATGGATACATGAATAGATAAATAGATAAATAGATAGATAGATATATTGATAGATAGATAGACAGATAGATAGATAGATAGACAGATAGATAGATAGATAGATAGATAGATAGATAGATAGATAGATAGATAGATAGATAGATAGATAGATAGATAGATAGATAGATAGATAGACAGATAGATAGATAGATAGATAGATAGATAGATAGATAGATAGATAGATAGATAGATAGATTGATTGATAGGTAGATAGACAGATAGATAGATAGATAGATAGATAGATAGATAGATAGATAGATAGATAGATAGACAGATAGGGGCATATCGCACCAGTGCCTCTAATTTACAATGTCTGAGGAAGTGAAATATTCAGCACGGAGTCCGTAGACTTTACCATTACTCCAGTAGCAGCCCTTGTTTACGAAGTCACCACCAGCTGCTCCTCCAACCACTTGGGCTGGACGGTAGAGCGACGGTCTCGCTTCATGCAGGTCAGAGTTCAATCCCCGACCGTCCACAAGTGGTTGGGCACCATTCCTTCTTCCCGTCCCTCAAACAAACAAACGAACCAACAACAGATGCACCAACACCTCATCTTAGCCTTCCATTTTCTATATATTCCCCCCTGGAACACGACCCGCAAGCCGGCTTACAACCAGGTGCCCAATCACTGCTGGGTATGAACACTTAAGAATGAGAAGGGGCAGGGATGACGGTACCCAGGCAACCCTGCTGTGCCTGGGGAATCGAACCCGGACGAAAACCGTTGTCGAGGCTTGCGCAGAGTGAGCCAGCGCTGCACCTCTGTGAGCTGCGTTGTGGATGTAAATGTTTCAAATTAAAATCCAATTCCGTCAAAAGCAGATTATAGGGCTTCAGCGTGTCGTCAGACGAGCCTTTAATTCCATTCTATTCAGTTATACGAACAATTATATATTTTTTATTTTATTTAAATATATAATCATTTGTATGCTTTTTATCTTATTAAACGGTAATACAACTGGCTGTTACGTTGTCAGCTGGTAACGTAACTGGCTCTACTGTGCCAGCTGGTAACGTAACTGGCTCTACTGTGCCAGCTGGTAACGTAACTGGCTCTACTGTGCCAGCTGGTAACGTAACTGGCCCTACTGTGCCATCTGGCAACGTAACTGGCCCTACTGTGCCATCTGGCAACGTAACTGGCCCTACTGTGCCATCTGGCAACGTAACTGGCTCTACTGTGCCATCTGGCAACGTAACTGGCCCTACTGTGCCATCTGGCAACGTAACTGGCTCTACTGTGCCGGCTGGCAACGTAACTGGTCTTACTGTGCCACCTGGCAACGTAACTGGTCTTACTGTGCCACCTGGCAACGTAACTGGCTCTACTGTGCCACCTGGCAACGTAACTGGCCCTAATGTGCCACCTGGCAACGTAACTGGTCTTACTGTTCCACCTGGCAACGTAACTGGCTCTACTGTGTCATCTGGCAACGTAACTGGCCCTACTGTGCCATCTGGCAACGTAACTGGCTCTACTGTGCCATCTGGCAACGTAACTGGCCCTACTGTGCCATCTGGCAACGTAACTGGCCCTACTGTGTCATCTGGCAACGTAACTGGCCCTACTGTGTCATCTGGCAACGTAACGGGTCCTACTGTGTCATCTGGCAACGTAACTGGCTCTACTGTGCCGGCTGGCAACGTAACGGGTCCTACTGTGTCATCTGGCAACGTAACTGGCCCTACTGTGTCATCTGGCAACGTAACTGGCCCTACTGTGCCATCTGGCAACGTAACTGGCCCTACTGTGCCATCTGGCAACGTAACTGGCCCTACTGTGTCATCTGGCAACGTAACTGGCCCTACTGTGCCATCTGGCAACGTAACTGGTCCTACTGTGCCATCTGGCAACGTAACTGGCCCTACTGTGTCATCTGGCAACGTAACTGGCCCTTCTGTGTCATCTGGCAACGTAACGAGTCCTACTGTGCCACCTGGCAACGTAACTGGTCCTACTGTGCCACCTGGCAACGTAACTGGCCCTACTGTGCCACCTGGCAACGTAACTGGTCCTACTGTGCCACCTGGCAACGTAACTGGCCCTACTGTGCCAACTGGCAACGTAACTGGCCCTACTGTGCCATCTGGCAACGTAACTGGTCCTACTGTGCCACCTGGCAACGTAACTGGCCCTACTGTGCCAACTGGCAACGTAACTGGCCCTACTGTGCCAACTGGCAACGTAACTACAGTCAAATACCGCCCAGTTCATTACAACGTTTCGCAAAATTAAACAAATAATATCGAGGAACAAACAGTAAAAGTTTGTATTACATTGACGTTGGTCCTATGTTTTACGTTAAATTGACGTTGGTCCTATGTTTTACGTTAAATTGACGTTGGTCCTATGTTTTACGTTAAATTGACGTTGGTCCTATGTTTTACGTTAAATTGACGTTGATCCTATGTTTTACGTTAAATTGACGTTGGTCCTATGTTTTACGTTAAATTGACGTTGGTCCTATGTTTTACGTTAAATTGACGTTGGTCCTATGTTTTACGTTAAATTGGCGTTGGTCTTATGTTAGACGTTAAATTGACGCTGGTCCTATGTTTTACGTTAAATTGACGTTGGTCCTATGTTTTACGTTAAATTGACGTTGGTCCTATGTTTTACGTTAAATTGACGTTGGTCCTATGTTTTACGTTAAATTGACGTTGGTCCTATGTTTTACGTTAAATTGACGTTGGCCTTATGTTAGACGTTAAATTGACGTTGGTCCTATGTTTTACGTTAAATTGACGTTGGTCCTATGTTTTACGTTAAATTGGCGTTGGTCGTATGTTTTACGTTAATTGACGTTGGTCTTAAGTTATACATTAAATTGACGTTGGTCGTATGTTTTACGTTAAATTGGCGTTGGTCGTATGTTTTACGTTAATTGACGTTGGTCTTAAGTTATACATTAAATTGACGTTGGTCGTATGTTTTACGTTAAATTGGCGTTGGTCGTATGTTTTACGTTAATTGACGTTGGTCTTAAGTTATACATTAAATTGACGTTGGTCGTATGTTTTACGTTAAATTGACGTTGGCCTTATGTTAGACGTTAAATTGACGTTGGCCTTATGTTAGACGTTAAATTAACGTTGGTCTTATGTTTGACGTTTAATTAACGTTGGCCTTATGTTAGACGTAAAATTGACGTTGGCCTTATGTTAGACGTTAAATTGACGTTGGTCTTATGTTTGACGTTAAATTGACGTTGGTCTTAAGTTAGACGTTAAATTGACGTTGGCCTTATGTTAGACGTTAAATTGACGTTGGCCTTATGTTAGACGTTAAATTGACGTTGGTCCTATGTTTTACGTTAAATTGACGTTGGTCCTATGTTTTACGTTAAATTGGCGTTGGTCTTATGTTAGACGTTAAATTGACGCTGGTCTGAAGTTAGACGTTAAATTGACATTGGTCTTATGTTAGACGTTAAATTGACGTTGGTCTTAGACGTTAAATTGACGCTGGTCTGAAGTTAGACGTTAAATTGATGTTGGTCTTAGACGTTAAAATGACGTTGGCCGTATCTTAGACATTAAATTGACGTTGAACTTATGTGAGACGTTAAATCGACGTTGAACTTAGGTTAGACGTCGTATTCGACGTTGGCCAAATGGTCGAGGATTTTAGATTAACATTTGTGCTAGTTATACACACATACGGCCTGAGATTGTATTAGTGAAAGAATACTTCATAATACTTGACTAGACCACACACTAGAAGGTGAAGGGACGACGACGTTTCGGTCCGTCCTGGACCATTCTCAAGTCGATTGTCAATGGATTCTCACAAGCGACTTGAGAATGGTCCAGGACGGACCGAAACGTCGTCGTCCCTTCACCTTCTAGTGTGTGGTCTGGTCAACATACTTTAGCCACGTTATTGTGACTCATCGCCTGCATAATACTTAAAACTTACAAGTGTATTAAGTTAGCGCATCATTGAATAACTTATACGTAACTGTACTTAAAGGTATAACCCCGTTGAATAAGTTACTAGTATACATACGTTAGAGACTTATTGAATACTTGACTGCATCATAAGTATACTTAGACCCTCATTGAATAATACATCATAAGTATACTTAGACCCCACATTGAATAATTCATCATAAGTATACTTAGACCCCCTCATTGAATAATACATCATAAGTATACTTAGACCCCCTCATTGAATAATACATCATAAGTATACTTAGACCCCACATTGAATAATTCATCATAAGTATACTTAGACCCCACATTGAATAATTCATCATAAGTATACTTAGACCCCTCATTGAATAATACATCACAAGTATAAAAAAAAGTTAGTCTTATTGAATAATACATCATAGTATACATAAGTTAGAGTTCTATTGAATAATACATCATAGTATACATAAGTTAGAGTTCTATTGAATAATACATCACAAATATACTTAAATTACTCACATTGAATAATTATTAAGTTATAAGTATTAGTGAGGTCCAGAGTGAATAATAATTAAGATTAGGGGAGAAGAGAGAGAGAGAGAGAGAGAGAGAGAGAGAGTGGGAGAGAAGTTGAGAGAGAGAGAGAGAGAGAGAGAGAGAGAGAAAGAGAGAGAGAGTGGGAGAGAAGTTGAGAGAGAGAGAGAGAGAGAGAGAGAGAGAGAGAGAGAGAGAGAGAGAGAGAGAGAGAAAGAGAGAGAGAGTGGGAGAGAAGTTGAGAGAGAGAGAGAGAGAGAGAGAGAGAGAGAGAGAGAGAGAGAGAGAGAGAGAGAGAAAGAGAGAGAGAGTGGGAGAGAAGTTGAGAGAGAGAGAGAGAGAGAGAGAGAGAGAGAGAGAGAGAGAGAGAGAGAGAGAGAGAGAGAGAGAGAGAGAGAGGCGCAGGGGAAGAGAGAGTGAGGGAGAAGAGAAAAAGTAGGTACTGTGCAGGTCCTAGTAGGTACTGTGCAGGTCCTAGTAGGTACTGTGCAGGTCCTAGTAGGTACTGTGCAGATCCTAGTAGGTACTGTGCACGACCTAGTAGGTACTGTGCACGACCTAGTAGGTACTGTGCACGACCTAGTAGGTACTGTGCACGACCTAGTAGGTACTGTGCACGACCTAGTAGGTACTGTGCACGACCTAGTAGGTACTGTGCACGACCTAGTAGGTACTGTGCAGTTCCTAGTAGGTACTGTGCACGACCTAGTAGGTACTGTGCACGACCTAGTAGGTACTGTGCACGACCTAGTAGGTACTGTGCACGACCTAGTAGGTACTGTGCACGACCTAGTAGGTACTGTGCACGACCTAGTAGGTACTGTGCACGACCTAGTAGGTACTGTGCACGACCTAGTAGGTACTGTGCACGACCTAGTAGGTACTGTGCACGACCTAGTAGGTACTGTGCACGACCTAGTAGGTACTGTGCACGACCTAGTAGGTACTGTGCACGACCTAGTAGGTACTGTGCACGACCTAGTAGGTACTGTGCACGACCTAGTAGGTACTGTGCACGACCTAGTAGGTACTGTGCACGACCTAGTAGGTACTGTGCACGACCTAGTAGGTACTGTGCACGACCTAGTAGGTACTGTGCAGTTCCTAGTAGGTACTGTGCACGACCTAGTAGGTACTGTGCACGACCTAGTAGGTACTGTGCACGACCTAGTAGGTACTGTGCACGACCTAGTAGGTACTGTGTAGAATCTACTAAGTTTGGATCATGTTCTAGTCCGCCTACACAATATTGGTGTCGTGTGAATAATAAATAATACTAAGTTTTACACGAGTAATCTTTACCTGAAGCTGTTGTTATAAGTGACTCCAGACTTGTGTGTAAGAGAAAGCTCTTAAGTTAATCTGTTTCAAGTTTGACGTTGATAAACTTGACTAAGTTGATGATGGTGAGTTCTCTCTCTCTCTCTCTCTCTCTCTCTCTCTCTCTCTCTCTCTCTCTCTCTCTCTCTCTCTCTCTCCTCTCTCTCTCTCTCTCTCTCTCTCTCTCTCTCTCCTCTCTCTCTCTCTCTCTCTCTCTCTCTCTCTCTCTCTCTCTCTCTCTCTCTCTCTCTTCTCTCCCTCTCTCTCTCTCTCTCTCCCTCCCTCTCCCCTCTCTCTCTCTCTCTCTCTCTTCTCTCTCTCCTCTCTCTCTCTTCTGCACTGGTATACAGTTCTGTTCCCTACTACAGTCACTATAGCACCTGTTGACTATAACAACACGTGCTATCCTATAATTATCACCCCACATTACTATAATTATCACACCCACTATAATTATCACCCGCACTTCTATAATTATCTCCCCAGTACTATAATTATCACCCACGCTACTATAATTATCACCCACACTATAATTATCACCCGCACTTCTATAATTATCTCCCCAGTACTACAATTATAACCCACACTACTATAATTATCACACCCACTATAATTATCATCCCCACTACGATAATTATCACCCTACTACCATAATTATCTCCCCACTACTATAATTATCACCGACACTACTATAATTATCTCCCCACTACTATAATTATCACCGACACTACTATAATTATCTCCCCACTACTATAATTATCACCCACACTACAATAATTATCACCCACACAACTATAATTATCACCCTCACTCCTATAATTATCACCCCACAACTATAATTATAACCCCCACAACTATAATTATAACCCCCACAATTATAATTATAATTCCCACAACTATAATTATAACCCCCACAACTATAATTATAACCCCACAACTATAATTATAACCCCACAACTATAATTATAACCCCACAACTATAATTATAACCCCACAACTATAATTATAACCCCCTACTACTATAATTATCACCAACACTCCTATAATTATCACCCCACGACTATAATTAAGCTACTGATCGAAGCTTAAGCTTTGATCAACAGACCAGTGACCTGGTCCAAGCTTCAGCTGTTAGACACTACATCTTATCTAATGTTATAAGATAACGTTGAAGGTTGTTCAAAAGTTGAAGCTTCGCGCTCAAAATTGATGAGATTGTTTCCCATTTTTAAGCTTATCGAGGTTCCACCAAGCCAGGGGTAAGATTTGAGCAAATATCTGTAGCACCTGATGCCTCTGCTCACCTAGCAGTAGATAGGTACTCGGGAGTAATGCGACTGTTGTCGGTGGCAGATCACCTGGGGCCAGATTCACGAAGCAGCTACGCAAGCACTTACGAATGTGTACATCTTTCCTCAATTTTTGACGGCTTTGGTTACATTTATTAAACAGTTTAAAAGCATGAGA